TTTAAACGGTGAACCAGAAGGCTTGCATTGCAAGTGAAACTGTATTACAAAAATACGTACACGTATGAATAAATGTATTAAAGAGAAACAGCTGGATCTTCTAAATGTTGCAACAGCTTGTAATTTGTATCTTGTCGACAACGCCACTCAGCAATAAATCATACAAAAAATGTATCTTTCTGATAGGTCTGAACCTCAGGTTTCTTGGTTCTTTCCTGCTTGGTACAAGGGGAGACCAACGCATCCCGATGGACTTGCTCATAATGCAGTGACGCTGATCCAAGAATCAAACTTGCTTTGTTTTAAGCACTTCTTAATCATTTTGTCAATAAATCTGTGCTTTATACTTTGTTTCCGCCTGAAGAGTTATCTACTTGGAATTTCTCAGAAATTGAACAAAGAAATGCCTTACATGTATAGCAGTATCGGAATCAAACTGCTCTACCATTACTTTTTAACAACAAACATATAACAATTGTCAGATAATTTGTAAAAAAAAAAGAAAGAAATTGTGCAAGTGTTTTACGATCTCATCAATACGCTTTAGATCACTGAGGAAACAGGCTGCATCTACCCTGCCTGTCATGGCCTACTATGACCGAGTAAGATAGCAGGATAGAAGCAACTGACTCCTAAGTTTATTTTTAGTAAGCGTTTTATGGCACTTGCAACACATTTTAAGTTATAAGTGCTGAATATTAGAGGTGTTACAAGAGAGTAACAAACATAAAAAAGGAGGAGAGATAAGGATGAAAAATGTTTGCTTGGAAAGAAGTAGCAAATCACACCAGAACATCTGCCAACTACCCACTGACTCAGAAGTGATCTAACTTGTGTCATCAATCAGTAAAAAACTTGACTGCAATTTGGAAGATGTGTTTTCAAATCTCTGCTTGTGAGTATCTAAACAAAGTTATTTGAAGCACTTTGACTTTGACTGAAATGTCCTTGCCTGTTCTGTACACCAGACCTGGTGGGTATTGCATGTCAGAACACACATCACATTGATGTTAACTCAAGCAAACAGCAAAATAACTTATACATTGACAGCCGATTTGTTTGAGACGCCTAGGAGTACCATTGCACTACATTGTAGGCCTACATGTACTAAGTGAGAGATAAAAAGATTCCAAATTGTAACACGTTAGAGAAAATTAAGTGTGTGCTTGATTCTGAATGTTAAAAAAAAAGAAAAATGTCAATAAGACACAACAACAACAACAAAACTCTGCACAATAATAAATAAAAGAACACCAATATCAATAATATCATATTTAGATACACTACTTTTATTTATGAAATGAGAAGTTAACAGTATCCATTATCACCTTCAAAACATTCATTTTAACTACTATTCATCAAATAGCCCATGTAAACAAACATAAAACAATAAATAAATGGCCATCTATTACAAAGAATGTAACTATCCCCACAACATTCTCACTTAACCACTCAAAAGAGACTAAAATACTGTCAGGATAATAGACATATTACATCATTTTTTAAAATTGCCACCATCATTACAACATTCTTTTAAAAAAACACCAAAAAAAAACCTAATCCCCCGTCCCCATATAAAAGGCATAAGTTCACATTCAACACACATCAACAGTCTTGCATCCAGCAAAAATTAAAATTATTTTACATAAAAGCATTAATGATACCATGATCTTTCTCATCTTAAATGCAATGACTTCAGACAGAATACAAATAGATGACATTCAATCCCACACCAAATCACTAGTTTTCAACAACAACAAAAAACACACAAAAAGTTAAGTGTTACTTTTGTTCTACTCTGGCAATACAAACTGATTTAGTTTAGAGGTATTTTTTAAGCTACTTTCAATATATTGTAGTTGGAGACAATTCATGAGGTATCACTCATAACTTAATATTTTTGGATCACATTCCACTTTTGGTTTAGCAAGGATTAACTTTGACAGGGAACATGTACATGAATTTTTATTGCTCACAACGCTGATAACTCAGGAAAGGGTGATCATCTATGTATTCAAGAACAGTTAAACTTGGAAACACACATATATGGGGGGGCTCTCGTGGCCTAGAGGTTAAGGTGTTTGCCTCTCATTCAAAGGTCCCGGGTTCGAAACCGGGTAGCGACCGAAAATTTTTCTTTTCTAAAATTGTCTCCTTTCACCTCCTTTCCTGCTCTCTAGCAATGTTCTGTTGTCTGCTTTCATTTCCACTTCCTGCCCCCACCCCTTCACCTCCTTTGCCCCCTCCTCTGGGCTCCTGACTCTTTCTGCAGCCTTTCTACTGCTACTCCTTGGCTCCTCCTTACTGCTGTCTTTCTGCCACACCCCTGATCTTCTGGTAGGAAAGATCTACACCTAGCCTTCTCGGACAAGGGCGAAAAATCTCGGAGGGCCCGTGTGCAAGTTGCGCACGTTAAAGATCCCTTGGAGGTCTAAAATCGATAAGAGTAGGCTTCGGCCGCCACGCGGGCAAAATTCAAAATTTCCTACCAACTGAAAATATTAGGAGTGCCCCGCGCGCTCATATGACCTATGCAGTTGCGAGCGCCGTAAAACACTTTACAAAAACAAACCCCCCCCCACATATATGGCATTCAATAATGACAAAAAATTTGGAAGTGGAAAATACACAATGAAAAACATAACGAATCTAACATATATATGGCAAAATTGTCTTAATAATGTAAACCTGTAATTCTAATGAGAACTGAAACTATTGCACATGTTTGAGGTCAATATTTTCACCTTCCCCTTTTGACTGGGCGAAGCATTGCAAGTGTTAATTTTGTTCGTTAGTTTAGATTCTACAAATTAATGCTAACTTTAAAAGCATGCATCAACACACTATCTTCATGGGACTTCATATATAGTCTGTGTTGAAAAACTCTATGACAGCTAGGCAAACTTTTTTATCACTGCATCATCAGAAAAAAATCACACACTGTGTACCTCAGACTCAGAAAATCTGTTGCCCTAGCTTCTTCGTAGGTCAATTCACATACTTTCTATTGTACAGTTTGATCTTCTCTACCTATGTCTGATAGAATTATTAAGAAAACAATAAGGCCATAGATGAATCAAACAGCACCAAAGCTACCTCATGCAAGGCCTGGATACATAAGGTAAGCACACTTGACAATATTGAATGGGCATGGTAGTTGATGTCAAACTACACATGCAAACATTCAGATAACTGTATAGCAAACTGGATTGCACAAGATGATCACTTATATAAATAACCAGGCTAACCCTTTCTCATGATCTATGGTACAGTATGGTATAGTACAGAGAAATACATCAACAGGATAATGACCATTTAATGCAAGGGGAAAGCAAGAAAGATGGACAGAGAGAAAAAATGGAAAAGAAAAGGAGGACGTACGAGTGACGCCTTCCAACCACCTGCATCCCGCCCGTGATTTACACACCCAAGTCCTAACTCTTCTTAGTATACGGTGCGCCACTCTTTTTTAAAATATTTTTTTAGTCATAACAAATACAACTCAGCAAATCCATCTTTTCTCAATTGTAGTCTATGATTACTACTTGGATCAAAGCCACACAGAACAGACAAGCCGTGCCAAGGCACCCCTCTCACATCTAGCGTTGTTGTAGGCTCAAAGCTTGTACACTGTCCACTGTACAGCCCGCCAGCACACAACCTCATTGTTCCACGCTAAGGGTGAAAGCAGACTACCTGTACAAGCGATATGTGCTGAGAAGCAACACATACCCTCTGCCTCGCAGAGTAATCTTCGCGGGAGTTACCCCATGCTTGCAGTTAGTAAGGCCTATTGACACAGTCGTCTGTCGTGTGTTGACAAAATCCCATTGTGTTTGTGATCACTGTTTTGATTGCTCTTTTAAACTCTTTATTGTGATATTTCAGTGGATACATGTAGATCTATATATGATTGTTTGGAACTGAATCTCAACAACACAGTTGTGGATTTATTTCTCCAAACTCACTTTTACATTGGTATTGTGTCTATGTTCATGACAATGGTTGTGATGTAATCTAGAGATCCATATTCAGTGGAACTCGGATTCAACGAGATGAGATAAATTCCCCGTTTTCTTCTTCTTTAAAATCAATAAAAATAACCCGGATTCAACGAGAACTTAAATCAGCGAGCTCGGATTCAACGAGGTCGCTTCCAGGGTGAACAGCCCCCGCAGACGTGGCGTCCCTCATATTTCTCCCCAACGAACTCTATCTATTCCCGGAAACCATCCATTGCACCTGCATCGTGAACCATTATTCATTTTGCCAATTGCATGCGACCAATCAGTGGCCTTTTTTCATACCAACACATGCGTTGCTGGCATGCACACGTGTCTACTCTGGCGTGGGGGTGGGATGGGTGGCGTGCACACCTTTGACTGTGTGTGCGTGTCGGGGGGGGGGGGGGGGGGGGGGGCACTAGCGGAGCGGGCGTTGAACATTCTTTTTTCTTTATTACACAATGATAAGCTAGTCTTGACATAGATCAACGAAATGAATTGTGTGCTGGTCTATGAAATCAAAAGTTGCCGTATGCTAGGCTCTACACAGCAACACAACTTTTTGGCGAAGTCGAGACGACATCGGCGTGTGCATTTGAACAAATCAGTCTTTTTTTTTTTTTACACTGCTCGTAATATGCAGGCATTTCAGGCACTACTTATGACTTCTCTTTATACTTCACTTGCTCAGTGCCTGCAATTATCTGCACAAAACCTCGTGTTTGCTATAACGAACACTCGGATTCAACGAGATTTTAGGTCAGGCCCGGCGACCTCGTTGAATCCGAGTTCCACTATGTGTCACGATGTGGTGGAATCAGGCGCTCGTCAATTTTTGGGCATGTGGAGTTATTGTTATTATCTTAGAGCTTATTTATTTGCCTGTCTTTCGATGAAAACCCCCCCCCTCCCAACTATATTGAATAGAAGTAGATATATTTGCAATTGAAGAAACGGGGGTCGCCTGATTTCAGAGGTAAAATTCGACAAAAATTGCCAAACCGTTGGAAAAATGCTGATATCTTCGATTTCATTATTTTGATGAGCGCCTGATTTCACCACGAAGCCTCACATATTTAGAGCTAGACTACTGCCAGACATTCTATCTTTAGATCTAGACACAATTGGAGTGTTTCTGTGCTTGTTTTGTGTGAATTTGATTTTTCCATTCTGATACTGCTGACAACAGCGAATTGCTAGACTCTAGGCTACTCTAGAATAGGCAGAAAACACTGCAAACCTTTTCATCATGGGGAGGAAGTGCTCTGTCTGTAACTGTCGGACAGGCTTCTGTAAGAGTAGGAGAAAGCAATACCTTTCTGCTTATCATCGGCCGAGAATTCTAACCGACAAACTCCTAAATTTCCTCGAATTGTTTTTCTCCAAAAAATAGATCGATACGACGAAGGGCTACGTCCTAATTAAATCCTTATCAATTTTGTTTTATAAAAAAATTCTAATTGTACATTCCGACTGGTTTCCATGACAGAAGAATTCAAAGCGTCTAATTCATTTAGGTTGCCCGTCATTGTGCATTACGGCGATGCGATCACGCATTGCTCTGAAGGAGGTGTTTGATTATGTTTGGACTTTGTCCAAGCCAGAAAAGGCTGCTTTTGTTTAAGGGTTGATCCACAGTGTTGAGCCTGTGGAGAAAAAGGAGGGAGAAAGCAGAAGATCAAGGTCCATGAAGTACCATCTGATTCTGCGGGTGAATGGGGCCAGGGTCAAAGTGTGTATGGCTGTCTTTTTCAGTCCTGGACTCTGCAACTGGTGGGTTCACAATGTTCTCACATGTGGGTTGGGTATAGCAGAGGGTGAGGTTCCAGTTCAGAGAAAAAGGGTAAGGGAGGAGACTACAGAATCAAAGGCACTTAATCAGTTTCTTCGTGATCTGCCCAAGTTGCCATTTCACTATTGCCGAAGGACTCCAGTAAGTAATACTTGGAACCTGTTTTTCAGAGCTTACAGACAGTGTACCTAAGCTTGTATTATAAAGATAAGTGTGAGTCTGTGTGTGTGAGTGTGTCAAGGTACTTTCTGTACCTTCATGTTTAAGGAGGAGCTCAATGGTAAGAACCTGTTATTGTTCCATCCTCGAAAAGAGAAGTGTGACCTTTGTGTGGGCTTTGAGGAGGGAAATTTGGAAAAGGGGGCATACAATCAGCATCGCTTGAGAGCTAAACGTGCACAGGATGAAAAAACAACAGACAAGGAAAAATGCATGAGCGGCCCCAAAATCAAATGCATCATCATGAACCTGCAATCAGTTCTGCTATGTCCACGCACTAATGCATTTGCCTTGTACTATAAGACGAAATTGTGTGTACATAATTTCACAGTATGATCTAAAGAGCAAGGACTGTGTATGTTATGTCTGGAATGAATGCGAGGGTGCTCTGACTGCAAATGAATTTGCTTCTTGTATGGCTGGGGTTTTTTTGGTCATCTGATTAAACTCAAGATGAATATATCATATTATTATATTCAGATGGATGTGGTTATCAAAACCGCAATGTCACAATGAGTTCTGCACTGTTACATTTCAGCTCTGTCAATGGTAAGACTGTAACACTGAAATTCCTAGAGAACGGCCATACACAGATGGAGGTGGACAGTGCTCACAGCACATCTACTGCCCAGCTGATTATGTCAGGCTGATGGAAGAAAGTAGGAAAGTGAATCCATATGTTGTCAAGTATTCGACTTGTGATTTCTTTTCTGACTTCACCAAAATGATCAACCTGAGTTCAATTAAGAGCACTTCAATATATACATCAGATGGTCAAATCAAATACAAACTGAGATTTGATGATGACTGGTCACATCTGCCATTGAAGCGTGGCAAGTCCACAGACATTCTCCATAAAGGCATGAAGGAACTGCCTCTGTACCAGGATAGAAGAAAAATGACACAGGCCAAGTTCAAACACATGCAAGAAATGAAGTCTGCGGAGCCATGTGACTACAACAGTTTCTAGGGTACAGAGGCATCAAGTCTTATCACCTGCAAAGGATTGACGTCAAAATACATCACTCGTTGGAGTCAACTGTTCAAGGTAATTAAATCTAAAGGCCTACCTATTGTTATGCAATCATGTTCTTGTGCTAACTTTACTTTCATTATGTTTTTTTTAAAAGGAAGAAGAAATATGAAGATAATATCATGCATTGTTCACCTTTCTGCTTCAGACTTTCTATTTGTGGAAATTTAGCTGTTGCATTTGCTTTCACATTCACTAGTTTCATCTGGAGAAGGGTCTTAAGTCTTTCTTTTTGTTAACATCTTTGGTTATCGCTTGTTCTCAACAGATTCAGATAGTTTTCTGTTAATTATGCTGGTATTCATTTTAATTATTTTGGAAAAGTAACAGTTTTAAAATGAACACAAAGACACCATGATTTATTCTAATCTATCACAAGAGAAAATTTTAAAAGCACATTCTACATCAAAGGTGTGTTTAGTTTAGGTTTAGTAAGAATTTTATGGCACTTGCAACACAAAATAGGTCAGATAAGGGCCAAAGATTAGAGGTATTACTATAGAGTAAGGTAAAAAGTTAAGTTGTTCCCGCATCCGATCCGGACATTGGGGATTGCCTTGTTAATGAGACAACTTCCTGGGCCTTAGGCATATTGTGGTAGGGTGGCTAGTTCCTTTCCATGCCCCCTTTACTTCCCTAACCTGAAGTCAGGTACCCATTTCTGCTGGGTGGGCAGGAGGGGGCGGAAAAAATCAGTGACCGACCCGAGGCTCGAACCCGGACTTTCCGCTTCGGAGATGAGCGCACTAACCACTCCGTCACCACACCCTCTACTATAAAGTAACGTACATAAAAAGAAGTAGGGGAGATAAGGATGACAGACATTTGATAGGAAAGAATGAGCAAACCACACCAGAGCACCCGCCTACCACTCACTCCAAGGTGTGACACAAGTTTAAAAGTATAATGTTTTCTTTTTCTTTCCAGAGCTTCTAAAGTTTGTCTCAATTGATGAAAGTAATGACTGCCCTGCTGACAAAAAGCCGCTCTTCTTTGAGTGTCAAATCCAGCTATTGAAAGCGCCAAAGACACCTGCAGCCTTCTATGACTTAAACGATTTGTGCAAAGCCTTTCCTTGGTACACAAGATCCAAAGCTCTGTACCTTCAAATGAGATGTCATCTGACCCTACCATCATTGACCATACTCAGGAAACTCACTTGTAAGTCAAAAAATCTTTCTGAAACAACACAGTTTAACCCTTTCGCACTTAGCAGGCTTGGCCAGCTGTGGCCCCCCATCCTTAAGACAAGGGCAACAACTCCACGAAAATTGAAGGGGTACCTTACTAAAAAAATTGTATAAAATCACAAACACAACCAAAAATTATGAAAATAGTATTTTCTGAAAGGAAAATGAATGAGCTAAATTACTAATACAAAATTATAAGTGGAATAGGAGAGTATGAAATGATATGAGAGGTCTTTCTGAGATGCGTGTCTTGGATTCCGAGCCTAGATCTAGATCTAGATTATCTCGTATACATTTCTTCAACTCACGAAGTTTTTGCCACTGACAAAGAGGTAATCCACACAAAAGAAATACAACACATTCACAGAGATTGAAGCCTCTGGTGGAAACTTGAAAGCACCTAAAAGACTTTTCTTTGGGTGTTTTTATTTTGTTTTTGCGGTACTCATATCGGGCGGCTTTGCGCCCATGCATCCTAGAGACATGATGGCGTGTTTACAACTAAAATCTCCTCCGACTTTTGTTCCCGCTCAAAAAGTGACTCTTTGTGCTAGCGAAACAAGAAAAACACCACAGTAAACCGGAACTCTTCCTCTATAAAGATAGCTAAGTTAAACTTCTGATGATAGTAAAAGTAGAAGCCTCCAGCGGCAACGAAACAAACACCCCCGTGGCGGGCGCATTCGGGCGCTATAGGGATGAGCGGCGGTCACCGGCGCGGGCACATACGGGCGCTGTAAGTGCGAAACGGTTAAGACATTTTTTGACAGGAAGAATGGAGTAGAGCCTGCCTTGTCATCATTGATGAGGTCTATGTCATGGCACAGATTGTATATTCGAGGGGAATATTTTTTTGATATGCTGAGGATGTGGAGGGAGAGCAGAGAGCAGCGACTACTTTGCTTGCAATGGTTGTGAAATGCTGTTTTACGTCAAAGAGGTTCCTGACCAAACCTGTTCCATAAATGCAGATTTCCTGTATTCTGTTGTAGTTGATGTGCTGACAATGCTGGAAGAAAGTGGTGCCAAGGTAATTGCAGTTATCAATGACAACAGCGAAGTCAACCAAAACTCCTCAAAGTTCCAGTCATTCGACGGCCCTGACAGACCTTGGATTGTCTAGTCCCAGGCAGATCCACCTGGACCGATGTTTCTGATGTACGAACCTGTCCACATTATGAAAAACCTAAAAAACAACTGGCAGACAGATTCTACACAACAACTGAAGTTTCCAGTGGAGTGGGAAGAGAATCAAGAAAGCCTGCATTTATACGTTGTTGCAAAGAGGACGGATCTTTTTTCTTAGAAGCATGAAGATGTCACCCTGTTCAAGTTGTCCAAGTTGACGCAAGAGACCCTGTCCCCAACCAACATCCAGAAACAGATGGTGAAACTGGCAATCAAAGTCTCCAATTACCAAACGGCAAAGGCCTTGAAGAACACCTCAATATCAACCTTCTCTGCACAAGTGTTGGATACAGCAGTTTTCATCGAAGCAGTGGTGCAGTTATGGAAGCTACTGAACAGCAAGTCCCCAAGAGAGACCATACGTCAGCGCGACAAAGGCCACATAGCTGTTGACTGCTCTCAACAGGGAGATGGAGCACTCCAGCTGCTCCATGATTGGTCAATGACTGCTCAAGCAATGAAAGCTTCTCTCCCACACAGAGTGAAGAGACTGACCAAGGACACTGCAGATGCCCTGGCTTGGACAAGCAACAGCCTGACTTCTCTGAGCCCATACCTTCTGGAGACTGACCTGCCACACAGACACAACTTTGTTCTCTTGGGATTCTACCAGCAGGATGACCTATAAAACTATTTTGGACACTTCCCATGGCAGCAGAGAGCAACTACTATGTAACAACTAAGAATGTCTTCAGCACTCATGAATTGGATCGCTCCAAATTTCTTCTGGTAAACAACATGATTGTCGAAGACCAGAATGACCAGCATGAATGCAGTGACTGTTCCAAAGGCCTCTCAAAAGCTGAAACAAAGTCACTCAACATTTTGCAAGAGACTGGTGCTCTGAAGAATCTGTCTGGGGGGAATGAAGTCCAAGCAATCTATCATGACGCTGGATGTGTGGCAAGAAAGCACGGAAAGACTGCCCTTGCTGTTCCACCTGGGTTATTTTGAATCCCTGAACAGAGGAGGCTTAGTAGGTTTATCTGAAGAGTTTTTTATACTGTATGGCCCTGACTTACAGCTTCGTTAGGAAAACACCGGAGACATACTGCAGGAATCGTCTAGTGAACATTTTCACTGACTTTGCAGCATTTTCCTGATTGACATCGCAGTCTGCTATCAAATGTATTGTAAATGAAGTGAGTTGAAATTACAAAAATATTGATAAAAAGCTAAGACTTGAGAGTAGAGGTCAACTCTTACATGAGTTAAATACTACATATTGAGAGCTAGAACTAGAATTACCGGCTTCAGACCGACAATCTTAACTTAGACCAATATTTTAGTAGAATATTAATAAATCGAATCGGATGCTAATAATAAAATACATGTAGCTGTACCAGTAGATTTTTTCATTTAAATTATTGTATGTTTGTTACTGGCAATATTGTCACCCGGGTTCACGGCATGGTTTCCCTACTGTGCCTTACACAAGAACTGATGCGCAGAGCTTGGCGAGTCAGCGAGCGAAGAGGGCTCAGTGATCCTCTGACGCGAAGCCAGGCTCAGTGATCCTCTGATGCGAAGCCAGGCTTGTCTGTTCTGTGCGGCTTTGACTTGGATCATTCACTTCAACTTAGTTTAGTGTTATTTTATGCTAATAGGCTAAGTAGTGCCAGAGTTATTACGAATTTTGCGGTGTTGACATCTTGAATGACAAAATTGGCTGCGTACAAAGGAGGAATAGTCTACCGTGTACTAAGAGCTAAGGGACCCCAAGTTCTAGTTGTCCATCATAATGTTATCTTTTAGCCATTGCACTTGGGTTGGGGCGGAAAATCTCATTTTCATCCTCAATACCGTTGTGCATCATGCGGTGACGCAGGTCCAGGCGATTGTAGAAAGAGAGCACCCGAGGATCAGCCCGCACGCAAGAGTTGCTAAAGTCCAAGACCCTCAGGCCCTCCAAACTTTTGGCTCTGGACAGTGCTACGTAAGCCTGGCCCGTCTCAAACACACGACTCAAAGACATCTCCACACAGTCCAGGGTCATACCCTGAGGACACAAAAAATCCAAGGCAAACAAAATCAGACATAATCAAAACATTGTTTTTTGACAAATTAGGAGTATGAAATAAAACCTTCATACCTTTGGCCACTACCTGTAAAATTCTAGCCAATGCAATAGACAGCCCATAAATGTAAACTTTCTAAAGCTTTGCATACCCATTAGAAAAACAATGTGCAATCAAAAACACTAAAAACTATCATTACAAACTGCTTACATGTTTTGTAGTGTGACCTCCATCAGTGAAGAAGATGCCTTGTAAATATCTGGCCCACTGTGATCAATATATTGCAGTTGTAAAGACTAGGTTTCCCACGATAAAATAGGGGTGAAATCTGAATTACATACTGCATTTTTCTGATGCAAATGAAAGAATAAGCAGAAGCAGGTGGCACGATACCGGCAGTCAATTTTTACACCACTTACCTGGCTTTTGTGTATAGAGATAGCCCAGGCAAGTTTGAGTGGGACCTGTCTCCGCACCACAGTGTTCCCTCCGCTCAGCCTGAATACCCATCTGCTTGGCTTGATGATCTCCGTCACACCACACACAAATTTCACAACCGGATGACCTAATCAAAAAATTATTTAAAAATATTAATAAATAAAATAAAAAATAAAACATTAACAACATCACACATTTCATTCACATCCAAGAGAGACAGAACAGAAATGCTGGTGAGATAAAACTGAAAAGACAAAAATTGCATGAACCAAACAGAATAATGGCCAAAATTTCATCCAGTCCTCACTTTGGAGAGCAAAAGATTTATCTTGAATAAAAAAGAGAAAGAACCATGACTTTAAGGCTTTAATTGTGAACAAAACCATGATGTTTTTTAAAAAATACGTTGGCAAAAGGATTTAACATTAGGCTATCTCTGTCACAGCCACTCAGTAAACCTACTTTTTGTATTTTGTTTCCACAAACACCAAAAAAAGATTCCAAGAATGTTTCATACAGAGAAGTTTTTACTGACCACCTGAGAGTTGTTACCAACAGACATCATCTTGCAAATAATTGGTAGAAGTGAACTAAAACAATACTGAACAGTTTTCATGATTCCGGTCTTCAACACTTTTCCTCCCCCGACTATCACATAAACAAAACAACTCTCACCATGATTCTTGGTATCGTAGGAAGTGACAACCCCTCGTGCTCCATTGACCAGACCCCGTTGAACATCCAGGTTCTTGCACAGCATTACCTTTGTAAAAAAATCAAACAAATATATACTATAAACAAGTGTCATGATGATGACTAGCGAACACAATAACAATGTCAACCTACTGTGTCTCACTTATAACCAAACATGCATTATACCATCAACACAGTAAGCTCTGATATCTTATTCATACTTTCCCTTTTTCTTTTCTAGTTCTGACATGTGTTAGCTCAACTTTTATTCATCATCTCCATGAAACTGTGCTTGTGTGCGAAGACACATCTTACAAAAAAGACAAGATATTTGAAATGACAAAACATGACAGCAATATCATGGTAATCTCTTTCACACCGCACTATAACAGCAAAGGTGAAGAAGTATTTGCTGCCTAGTCCTATGACCAATTTCAAAGTAGTATTATACAAAGCTTTTCCTCATCAAATGAGAATACATGTACTTATTTGAAGAAAGTTTTATTAAAAAAATTTCAAGACTGTTCATTCATTATAAATTATTTCCAATGATGAAAAAAAGCAATGCACTATGGCAAATTTAAGTACACGGAAAAGTCACCACTCTAAAGGACAAAACAAGACCTGGCCTCTCCAGCTATAAAATCCCAGAAAGTTGAAAACATAGAATGTACCTGGGCTCCAATTTTTAACTCCAGACTAGCTGGAACTGGGCACAAAGTATTTAGGTGCAGCGCATAGCCTTCTTCTGAGTCTGTGGCTGCAAATTTACGACTTTCTCCTGTGAAATATATTTTTTTAAAACACATTTTAGAAAAGAATAGAAAAAAATTCATGAATCCTCACACGCTAGTTTGTTCGATCTTTTGACAATTACTAATGATGTGGTAACAATCAGACATGTTATGAATAAATCAAAAAGTTGCACAAACGGATCCTTGTCATCAATTGCTGCCTCAAAAAATCAGGCATATATGCACACTGAGCAAAAGCTAACATTTTTCCGTTTCTGCACCCCCTGTTTACCTTGCAGCTCCTTAAGACTGGACACATTTATTTCCTCCACATCCACCTTGTGAGTGCACAATCTTGTGGCTACGACTCCATCCTTCTCTATGATGTGGTGCTTGGTCGCCTGCAGAGTATCCGAAACAAAATCTGGACACCTGTCAAAACAAAGAAAGAAAATGTATTTATTGTGAAAGAACAGAGTATTAAGTGATGATTTACAGAGCTCTTCATGGTCAATAATATTTACTGAGACATCCAGTCCAGAAATACTACTTGTAAGCATGAGTCTTTTTTGACCCAATCAAATGAATGTATGTCATGTATGACTTAATCATGGCCTTACAATATGCCTCTGGCTGCAGAGTGAACATCAAGTATCATTTGTGAGGCATCATGGTGAAATGAGGCACTTGTCAAAATAATGAAACAGAAGAAACCTGTATTTCTCCGCCCATTATCAATTTTTTTCTTTTTTTGCTCAATACCTTTTACATTAATTTAAATACATATTTCTGTGCAGATTTATTAACATGTTGATTAAAAGCACGAAAATGTAAATCTGCAGTGTCCTAGGACGCTCAAGCTTTGGAAGTCACCAAACTTAAGCGACCATTTTCTCGTTAATTTTACGTCTGACAACAGGCGACCCCCACCTTCCACAACTGCAAATATAGCCTTCTATTCAAGATAGATAGGTATTTTTTTCACCAAAACAAGGAAAATGAACATGCTTTAAGAATATACCGTACCAATAACTCCACATGTCCAAAAATTGGCGAGCACCTGATTCCACCACGTTGTGACACATTAATTAAAAAAATTTCAAACATCAGAGGGAAGAAAAGCCAACATGACCATTGTCTTTCGAGAAAAACGATACAGAAGAAATATCTGACTTACATTCCCTTACGAACATATTGCAGTATGTTGATGAAGGACTTGTCTGCTTGTCGTTTCACATCTGTCAGTTGCATGGTTGTCTCTAAACATTTCTGCCATGCTTCTGACTGAAAAAAACAAAACAGAAAATACTTTTAAGATCCAACAAACAATAGTCTTATTCTTATACCCGAAAGCATGCTCAAGATTTTGTCAATGAACATTTTAAAGTCGATTCCAAACTTATTAAGCAGGCACATCAGATTGTTTTCTCACAGACTATTCATGTTTTTTTATAACCTATTTCTTTTTTTGTTAATCAATTAAACAATACTATTTACAGAATTGAACATCAACTTTGAATATTGATTATTACTGTCGTGTACAGTGATTTGTCTTCGTATACAAGAGGACAAAATCCATTCTGAAATAAACTCAGAAGTTCACTGGCATTCAAATAGGTTTGTACTTTATATTTGAAATAAAAAATTTTTAAAAGGTGTTTACTTCAATTGCATCAAAATTCTAGAAATTAAAAAAAAATGCTTATGGCAAAGGTCTACTTCAGTTTCCACCCCCACCCCAAATAAGTTAAAATCATCTTTCATGCATGATGACACGGTTACCTCCAAATTGGACCCAAAATGGATGGGCTTAAGAGATTAAGTAATATGTTCCAAATTGAGGGCTAAAATAAAACTTTACCAAAAGAGCTCGAGGCATACAACTACCATAATCTGATAACCTCCTGGACCAAATAATACATGACAGGTGATTTCATACATCAACTCTAACATGTTAAACTGTGTACGGACAGAAAAACATTCTGCTGGTGATGTAAACATCTTTAGATGTCATACGAAGATAAGCTCGGTTGTTTAGCAAAAAAGTAATAATGGACAGAGATCTCGAATATCAGTAAATGTTTGTTTAATCTAACAAACATATGCACCACATTTCACAAACATAAACTAACCTCTTTGCATTTTAAAAACAACACAACATAATTCAATCGTTGAACAAGAAAGGCACAAAACTTTACCTGGAAACAAAATCTCCTGATTTCCCCAGGCCTGGTGACGGGAGGAAGCTGTAGAAAGTCTCCGCACAGAATGAGCTGAATGCCACCAAACGGCTGGTCAGACTTACGAATCACTCTAAAAGGGGGGGAAAAAGCACAAAAGAGGGATTATAAAATTAAATTAATTATAAACAGAATTTAGTCAAAGACAAAAAAGTAGAAAACCAAAGCTCAAGATGGGAACTGGGACATAAAAAAGCAAAATACAAAGTCAAAACAAAACACCACAAATCTTAAATCAAGCTGTCAGAGACAGGTGAGAACCTTGTTGACATCATTATACAATTGAGAATTAATCTAAACTAGTTAACCTTGATGATATCATAATACAATGGAGATTTAATCCAAGCTTGTTAGAATGTATAAGTTTCATGCCTATTACTTTGCACTAAAGAGGTCATATATTTATTACTAGAGTTCCTGACACTGATGTCCCTCACATTATGGGGGCTGCATGTGCCCTTTATGGGATGCTGAACTTCAAGGGCAAGACATGCACAGTTCAACAGATGGGCGAGTACTTTTCGAGACACGCGTAAAGATTGGAAATCTACAGGCTTGCACTGAAATATGGGAGCAGGGTGGTGTTTAAAATACTAGAGCTCGTGGTGAGGAGCAGGGTGGAGGCTCAGTCTGTTCATGTAAATGGGGGCATGCCGGCCATGTCGATGAGGATAAAAAGGCCCAGATGTCTGACACGTGTGAGGGCGTCACTGCTGCGAGCTCTAGTATTATAATATAACCTCTTTGCTTTGCACCCAGATAAATTTGTCTACGCCAATAAAGCTAACCTATCAACATTCGTACAGGTGTTTATTGAGGGGGAAAATTATTTGAATTAAATCACCTTGCAACATTTTCCAGCTTGTCAAAAAGTTCACCATCCACCATGGAGACCTCATCAATGATGAGATGTTTGCAAGCTCTCCACTGCTGAGCCACTCGTTGCCTGGAGGCCAGCTCTATGCACTGCTGGAGGGGAGCTTTGCCAGACCCGATGCCTGGAGGGGACAAACAGGAAAAGTTACACGAGGAAAGAGAAGTACATCAACACAACAACGGTCACTTCATGGGAGAAAAAAGAAAGACAAATAAACAGAAACTACAGACGGAAAAAAAAGAAGCAGGACATATCAGTGGTGCCCTCCAAAACTACTGGGCAAAGATGGCAGACGCGCATATATACAAGGAAGGAATTAATTTTATCTTAAACTACGTAACAGAAAACTCATATTTGACATTAAAATTGTGAAATTACTTTATGACAGAACATTTCCTTTGCAAAAAGAACACTACAAGGACTTCATTCAAAACTACACAAAAGGAACAAGACTGATTGATGGTTCAATCGATTTAAAACGTTCTCCTCAATTAGAATAATAATGTAAAAACTCATTTTTCGAAGGTAAATTTGACTAATGTTAGTTTTTATAAGAAACTCTATTAATGAAGAGATATGTAAGCCCCCCCTCCCTCCTTTTTTTTCTCCTGTATACAAATATTAATCCCTCTGCCCATTTCAGGCTTCTATTCTTAAAGCAAAGCCTCAAAACCACATCATAAATATGGTCTTTATAAATAAGCAAAAACTGCATTTCTGAGAATGAATACAGAGCAAGAGTAATAGCAAGTTCTCAAATACATAGTTTTTCAGTGAAATCTAAAATATCACTATGAAAGAGTGGGATGAGTTTGTTCTTGGAAATTCTGCTCATGTATATTCGATTTCAACAGCGGCATGTCAGAGTGAGCTAACTCGTCACATACACTGCAATATTCAGGGTTGCCAGCAGGCTCTGACAAAAAAGCCTAAAAATTTTTCGATATAAAATTCTGTTTTGTTTTGTTCATTAGGATTTTTAAAATACTAGATCTAGGTATCTACCTATTTATTCGTTTTGGTTTTTTTAACCGAATAATGCCAAGCCCCAACGGTAATGCACAGGAGTTAAACGATCTGTTTTGGTCTTCCTTCAGGCCTTGCCGGTGCTGGGTTACAATTTGCTGACCAGGCAGGAAAAATTTCCCCGGCTCCGCTGATCTCGGCAGAAAAAGCTGTGAAAGCCGGATTTCCGGCTATAGCCGGAAAACTGGCAACCCTAAATATTGTATTTTTACACCTATGTAAATAAAGAAATCATCTCCACAACATACATTTCGGAAATCAGTTATAAGCTCAGTACCTGCAAACGAATGTAATGTAGTCCCTCCTATATGGCAAGCTGCAACGCCAGTACTCGCAGTTGCAAAAGTATGATTGGGCGGAAGAGCACCTGTGTTCAGATACAGAATAGTACAAATACAATATATATTCGCCACATTTTCAAAAGTATGGTTAACCATGAATATGCTTCCTTCAAAAGTACTTTTAACACTTTAAAGCTGGAGACAAAGATCAGTAACACCCCAAATCCATAATTAAAGTTAAAGAGGAAAGGCAGAAAAAATGTTTAAAGTCCAAAATAAAACCCAGCATAGCATTACCATTGAGTAATAATACTTTCCTATTTCGTCCCTATCTACCATCTATATGGACATGTTGATTTCACTTCAAAAGACTGGTGAAATATAACTGATATCGTGCTGACTTGCTATATAATATAAAACTCCGCAAAAATAACCCAAAACCACCCAAAGGCTACTGTGTTCAGAAGGGTCACAAAAAAAAACCCTACTTGAATTTCACTCCTACTAGTTTTCCAAGTACAGAAACCATAATATGCTGAAAGAGACCATATTCCCTGAGTGAGTGTACTTACCGATGATCCTCTTGAGTAAGAAGGACTTTCCTGTTCCTGCACTACCGGTGAAAAATATACTCCTGCCCTTCTTCACCATTTCCAGAACTTGGTTTTGTTCAGGAGTGAGCATCACTGACTTGGCTAGCACTTTGGACGGGCTGATTCCATTGATTTTGGACATTGTCATAAACTTCGGCACCCCAGGGCTAACCTTCTGACGTTTATCACCATTTTCCTTCTGGCTCAGAGATGACAGATGTCCACCTTGATCGCTAGTCCTTTTCTTACCAGCAATGCTGGCAGTGGACAATGAGGATGAGGATGATGATGGTTTTGATGGCATGGCCAGCTTTGACTTTTGAGTAGCTTTCACCTTTGCATTATGAGCAGTTTGCAAATCTTTCAGTGTCAAGGGCGAGATCTCTTCAAATTCACGATGCTTTCCTGAAAACAGTTTTTGCCTTTGAGACAAGAAGCCTTTATCTTTAAGACAATCCAATTTGGTCTGTAGAAGGAAGAGGAATAATTCATTAACAGTAGAAAATTGTAAATGTTTATTCGGCGGATATGTTTTTATATCCATCCCTCCATACAGGGGTAAATATCAAGCTTCGAAACAAAATGAGTAAGGTAACAGTTTGAAGACCAGGTTCTGATCCTCCTCCCCCCCAAAAAAACAAACAAAAAAAACAACTGTGTTTTAATCCAGAGAAATAAACACTGTGATTTTGAAAACTATTGATTAAAAGTACACCAATAAAACCATTTTTACTAACAGTTTTATGTGTTCTTTCAAGCCTAAAAAGAAAATGGAGTTTACTTGCTTGTCAGTTTTTGGCCCAGTTAAAAAAGCTAAAAGAGAGAAGTGCTATAAATCAAACTCTGTAATCGTAAAATACAAGTTAAGAGTGAGAGACATCACACTAGATGCCTAAAAGATTATATTCATAAAGCGCAGATTTTATCATGCTAAGTTGTGACTCTACATTGACCAATAATGACAGACTTCACCACTGATAGAGATCAGTAACAAGCTTTTTAACAATGAAAGGGAATGACTTTACAAAGAAATAAGCTGTTTCTTTTTTGTTGTTGGGGCAAGTGTTTTATGGCACTTGCATAAGGTCATATGAGCGTACGGGAAACATGAAACATTTTTTCAGCTGGTAGGAAATTTTGAATTTTGCACGCCTGGCGGTCAAAGCCTACCATTTTTAGGACCACCAAGGGACCTTTAACGTGCAGAACTTCCACAGGGGACCTCCAGGATTTTTCACCCTTATCTGAGAAGGCTAGGTATTCTGGGACATATTTGAATAAACAAAACATTATGGCCTTGAAAATCTAGCTCTCATTGGCAAAACTGAAAGCAAACAAGGCAGGAGTAGACTCATAGCAACCTACTTGGAGAGCCCAAACAGATGGGTAACAGGGGAAAATCAGGATAATGTAGCTTCTTTGGGAGTATCTAAGCAAAGGAATAAATATGTGAAACATGATCACTGATGTCTGTCACAGATCTGGCACCTGATGATGATAATGAAAAATCATACCTGGAGGGTCTTGAGAAACATCATCAATTTGTCAGGAGGGCAATTTGACAGCATCAATTGCACTTTGTGGTCTGGAAGTTTAACTGTCGCTTTCCCATCCTTAACAAATTTCTTGTGGATAAGAAGTTCCTTCACTAAGTACTTAGACTCCTTCTTCGGAAAAGTTATCTGTTGAAAATTTGAAAAAAGAAATGAGCAAACAGAACAAGCACACAATACTGACACCTCCTCTCCTCCCACGACAGAATATATACGAGGGAAGTCAAAAAATTAAGTACCGTTTAAAAATAATTATAAAATAAATAACTTTCCCAATCAAAACAATTTATTTTTTAATACCTCATAGATCTATAGGACTACTTCTCCATGTAATCACCAGAACTGTTGAGGCATTTGTTGTAGCGTGGGACGCGCTTCTGAATGCCTGCATCATAGAAAGCTGCCGCATGCGATTTCAGCCAATGTCCAGTCTCTCCTGTGAGACCAGCGTCTGAGTCAAAGTCCTGCCCAACCAAAAACTTTTTCAAATGCAGGAACAGATGAAAGTCACTCGGAGCCAGGTCTGAGCTGTACGATGGGTGCTTCAACTGTTCCCATCCGAAGGAGGCGACCAGGTTTTGAGTCTGTACAGACTTGTGAGGAGTTGCATTGTTGTGAAGCAGAATAATGCCGTCGCTAAGCATTCCACTTCTTTGGTTTGAATCGCTCTACGCAGGCCGCGTCAGGAAAAAAAAGTCATGTGTACAGTGTTTTGGGACAGGCAAGGAGTTCTTTTAGTAGAATTTTGGGGAAATGGGATGACAATTAACTCTGATGTGTACTGCAACACGCTTAAAAAACTGCGTAGAGCGATTCGAAACAAAAGATGCTGAATGCTTAGCGACGGCGTTGTTCTGCTTCATGACATTGCAACTCCTTACAAGTCTGCACAGACCCAAAACATGATCGCCTCCTTCGGATAGGAACAGTTGAAGCACCCATCGTACAGCCCAGACCTGGCTCCGAGTGACTTTCATCTGTTTCTGCATTTGAAAAAGTTATTGGCCGGGCAGGACTTCGACTCAGATGCTGATCTCACAGGAGAGATTGGACACTGGCTGAAATCGCAGGCGGCAGCTTTCTATGATGCGGGCATTCAGAAGCTCGTCCCACGCTACGACAAACGCCTCAACAGTTCTGGTGACTACGTGGATTTTTTTTTTCAGCAAGTGACAGCACAGGACAAATATTGAGCTATTTTCATGGAAGAGGCTAGCCGTAATGACGGCTAAACTGGCAGTCTAGCCGTACTTATTCTAAATAAGATGGCTAGACTGACCCTTTAAAAAAAAATAGGCCTACTGAATTGTAAAAATATAAATTTTTAGTGTGCAGTACCTAAAGTTTGTATTTGAGACGAAACCAGGTGCCTTAATGACAGTGCATGTATTTTAAACCTCCTGTTTTCTAATGTCTAATGTTAATAGGGCCTAAGATAAATATAGCTAGATTCTTGTCTAGCCGTACTTAAGTACGGGTAGACAGCCAGGCTAGCCGCACTTTGTCAGGCTAGCCGTACTTGATATTGATGGCTGAATTGTAAATGAAATTTTTAGCTTGCAATGCCTAAAGTATTTTTGTATTTCAGACAAAACCAAAAGGTGCCTTACTGACTTGCACGTATTTTAACCTGAATAATTACTAGATCTAGATCTAATGAGACCTGTGTACTTAACAGGCATGAGTCGATAGGGCCAAACCTAGATCTAAGTACGGCTAGACTGGCAGTCTAGCCGTACTTAACTAAACTAAGTACGGCTAGCCACTTCGTATTTTCATTCTGGTTTTACCGTGTACGTAGATACTGAGACTAGGTGCCCGGTTACCTTGTACGTAGATACTAGATACTGAGACTAGGTGAGACTAGGTGCCCGATTAGTGTACGTAGATACTGAGAGACTAGGTGCCCGGTTACCATGTCGGTAGACATTCCGTACTATACAGTCAGTCATTTTTCTTTTCAATGAAAGTGGCTATTCTCACCCGCCCGGAAGTTCTCGCAAGATCTACTCCTCCCCTCTTCTCTCTCTCTCTCTGTCTCTTTCTGAATACTGTCTATCGGTGTGGACGATCAAATTGACCAAAACAAAGTTAAAACACAAAAGTAAATTAATTTGGTTGTCTACAAAGATGCTACGGCTATTTAACTTTTCGAATCGAGCCGAACTACGCGGGTCGCCATTTTGTTTTGTTCTCTCTCTCCTCACTCTCTCTCTCTCCCCTGCCCACAGACAAAATTGTACGCTTTTAGTAGGCTACAAGTACAGTTGTAATGGAACGTTTGTTCACAGCACAGAATTCTACAATTTTTCTCTTATCACAGTGTAGAATTCTGTGGTTTAGGGTGAACGCAAAATTTGTTGACACGCGCACCGGGTGAGAATAGCCACAAGACCCGCCTGCACTATTCTCACCCCGGGTGAGAATAGAGGTGGCCCTTTTCAATGGGTACATGTCCTTCAGAATCAAGACACAAAATTGACAATGAAACCAACGAACGCTGAGCCTCCTGATGAGTGCAGAAGTAACAGTAAATATTTACCCAATTATTCCCCCCAAAAAGGCCAGCTAGACAAAACTACCAACAATATTACTAACCTTGAGTTGCATTTCTTTGAATTCATCTCTTCCAATTGTCAGCGTAAGGTTTCTGTGTTGCACTTTCCTCACAACATTTCCAGTTGATGAGAGTTCTTCAATGCAGACAGTGCAACACAAACATGCATTTTCCATTGGAATATAGATCTATAGAAGATCTAGAGAGGCAGTCAAGACCAAGAGAGGCAGTCTAGTCTACAGATCTATAGTAGTGACTGTAGTTGTAAGTTGTAGGCCTACTGTTCCAGCGCCCAAGCATCAATTCAATGAACTGGAAATTGTTAGGAGTGTTGGATCAACAATATCGAATTTAAAGACTACTTTGTTATTTTTGAGAACTTAGCTGCACCGCCAGGCCACAATAGTAACAGTAGTCATATGCTAGATTTCTAGGTCTCAAAATATCAAATTGATTGAAAATGTACGTATCTGAAACGGCTCCGATCTGAAACACCGTCTGCGTTGCCGGGAAGAAGAGTTCTTATCACACTCTCTTGACTAAATTTGTACCTGGGAAAAAAGAAGACTTTGACGTGTTTAAACATAAGAGGGATTGAACGTCTTTGTTGCTGTTGACTGGAGACAACAGCTTTCAATTTTCTTTCACACTGAGGAACAAACTCTATCCTTTTCCCAATAGCCCAGTTGTGATCTGTTGAGTAGTGGCCTGGCCAGTGCTTTGGTTCATTTGATTGATGCTTTGTTCATCTTTCGAAATTGGTAGCACTCGAAGAGTTGCCGGGTTGCGATTGACTTGCATTTGAGACACTTGATCAACACAAGGAGCTTAGAACTAAAATGTAAACTCCTTGAATCCGCACAATGTTTCATAAACGTTTCTGTTTGAAGAGAAAAAAGCAAAACAATTTCCAAGCTGTGAAACGAAGTATGGTATAGAACCAATGAGATAATCCTTGTATAGAACAAAAGCTATTTAGATATAATTTTATTTTGTTCCTTAATTCTTGATCTGGTGTAACTAGGCCTAGCAGAAGCAAAATGAACAACTTTAGAAAATGGCAACTGAAAATAAATGAATTGCAATTTTTTTGCTCTCGTTATTCCGTCAGCGACTAGAACAGTTTTGGTATAAAACAGCTATACAGTAGCCTACAGGCTTGTTAAAGTTAGAGTATGTATTTTGTTTTGCGACCTGGCAATCGAACGGAAGTGGCTGTTTGTGTGTCCGTCCGTCGACCATCCGATTGAGCTAGGCCCTAGGCCTACTTTCGGTTTCCCCAGAAGGACTACCAGGACACGTCGTGGATTGTTCATTTCACCCTTGCTACCGGTCTTTCCAAGCAACTGGACTAAAGTTAAAATGGCTTCCAAAATTATCCGTAAAATCATTAGCACCCCAAAAGCTCCGAAAGCTGTTGGGCCTTACAGGTAATGCAGCACTGTCTCGGTAATTTGTAAGTCGAGTCGTCAGTGGGCGTTGACGCGTGCCATTGTCACTTCAAGTCACTTACAAGTGACCATTTTTTAGATGATTTAATAATACGGCTAGCCACTTCGTAGAGTCTAGTCCAGCACGACACCATTGACTTTGAGTTTGACTTCTGGGTGTAGCATGATGCCTTTGCTAATTAGAACTAATCATTATGATTTTTAATGCTTGCATTTTGTTGTTCATTGAGCTTTTACAAGGCAGCAAAGTAGGCTAAATAGGCTAATGATTATGTCTTTTAATACTTTTTTGAAGGTTTTTTTTTTTTTACTTTCACTCACGCCTCATGCTCAGCAGAGGGATTGCGCTGGCATAGAGAGGCCCTGCTTACATTCTGTTTTCTTAACCCTATCCGTATGCCCTGGGCCTGGAGTCATTTTGCACCCCCGGGGTTGTATTCTTCACATCTTGAAAGAGATATGTAGAATCTAGATCTAGATCTAAATATTGATTCTAGATCTAGATTTAGATCTAGATCTAGTACGAAGATCTCTTTTGAAACTTTCAGTATTTCTCCAAAAAATCATTTTGACCTGTAGACTGCTATGCAAAGCGTACGGATCGGATTAACGAGTAGTTTCCTCTTTGGAAAGTGGTGGCACAGAGTTCCCCTTGTCGTATGAATACGACAGTAAAACTCGACGTACGGATAGGGTTTAAATTTTGTCCATTTTAAATTTTACTCACATTTCAACTTTATCCCTTGTAAATTATAATTAGTTTATGAGATTTTTTATGTTATGATGTTAACTAAATCTAGATCTAGGCTATACTATATAATTTTAAATGATAAATCATGAATAATAAAAAATTATATTACCGTAATTACGGAGGATTGATTGTGTAGCATCTTCTATTAGGCCCAAGTCCATATATATATATCGAATGCGTACTTCTTTTTTGTGGGTGGGGGTGTTCATATTAGTAGATTAAAGTATTGAAGTAAATATAATGAAACTCATAGGAATATTGTACCTTGGAATTTACACAAATGTGACAGTTAGGGTCAAATGCTCCACTAGAATGAAAAAAAAGTCAGTATTATATTAACATTATTTTCTCTCTCTCTCTCTTTCTCTCTCTCCCGCTCCCTCTGTCTCTCTCTCTCTCTCTCTCTCTCTCTCTCTCTCTCTCTCTCTCTCTCTCTCTCTCTCTCTCTCTCTCTCTCTCTCTCTCTCTCTCTCTCTCTCTCTCTCTCTCTTTTTCTCTTTCTCTCTCTCTCTCTCTCTTATTAGAAATCTATAATGTCATATATAGAAAATGTAAATAAATATATATGACAGTGACAGAGTCAATTTGAATTCCTGTATCCTAACGACTCAATCGACTGTCTGAGTATAATGTTTGAGGTGGATCCTGTGGAATTTTCCTGCTTACTCACAATTTTATTATTTTCTGTTTTGTTGTGAAAACTTCATACTTGTCGTCATGTGTTCTCCTCCCTGCCATTCAGTCAAGCTGTTAAGGTGAATGAGACCCTGTATATATCTGGACAAATTGGATTTATTCCGGAAACCATGGAAATCGTTGCAGGGGGTGCTGCTGCGGAGACGGATCAGGTAAATCTATAGTAAATTTATGCTTTCGTGATAAATAATGATCATATTTTTCAAACTGTTTCTAATTGAAATGGCAATTTTAGATTACAACTGATATGATGATGTTTATAATTATAGGGCAGTTGCTTTTTTTATACTTAAAGGTTGGAGAGGGCAAAAATTAAAGTGAAAAAGGTGGGGCTCGAGATATCTGTGAGATCTTGGGAGTCTGCTGGATGGAAAGACTTGAATGAAATGATAACCCTTTCTCATTTTGTCTTCTTGCTTTTGTAGTTTTAGTATTTCATCACAACTATTTTTATCTCTTACAAAACAAATTTCAATTTCTGTCAGAGTTTATTGAAGAGGAGCAGATAGGAGAGCTAGAGCATTGGGTATTATTAAGTAAGGAATAGTGCAATACAATTTTTAAGGAAGAAATTTTTTGTGACATAGAAAGGTTTTTTGGAATATTGCAAAAATTTGTATGCATTTAATTATTTAGCATCTCTAGCAAAGCTTCCTTACTACCAGGGTGATTTTTCTTCTGCTGTGCACCCATTCAATTACATTTTTTTCTTACGTATAGTTGAATAAGTTGTCATTGTGTTACTTGACATACATGATAGTTAGAAGAGTTGGAACTTGTACTCCTGAAATACATATCTGCTAGAAGTTAAAATGCAAAAATTGAAATATTTTTTCTCACATTTTTCTTTATTTGTACCAGCACAATGAATTGACAAAAATATTATTCCACAGGGATGCAAAAGTTTCATTTGGATATACATAGCAAACAACTCCATATACTGCCATTTTTACCATGTGTAATTTTTCTACCTAATGGGGCACTAAAAACTGTGACAGTATTACTAGAGTAAGTAAGAGAGGAAAGAATATATATATCCCTTCATTATGTTATTAATTGAATTTTGTTTCACAGGCACTTAAGAATTTGGGGACAATTTTGGCAGAGGCCGGAGGCACCTATAACAATGGTAAGTAATATGGTTCAGTCAGGGTTGTTTTTTTTGTAAATGTTTTAAGGCGCTCGGAACTGAATAAGGTCATATGAGCGTGCAGGACACACTTAATATTTTCAGTTGGTAGGAAATTTTGAATTTTGTACGGGTGGCGGCCTAAGCCTACTCCGATTTTAGAACAAGGGATTTTTATCGTGCGCAGCTTGCACACGGGCCCTCTGAGATTTTTTGCCCTTGTCCGAGGAGGCTTGGTGTAGATTTTTCCTACCAGAAGATGAGGGTTGTGGCTGAAAGACAGCAGTAAGAAGGAGCCAAGGAGTAGCAGTAGAAAGGCTGCAGAAAGAGTCAGGAGCCCAAAGGAGGGGGCAAATGAGGTGAGGGGGTGGGGCAGAAAGAGGAGACGAAAGCAGATGACAGAACATTGCTAGAGAGCAGGGAAGGAGGTGAAAGGAGACAATTTAGAGAAGAAAATGTTGCGGTCGCTATCCGAATTCGAACCCAGGACCTTTGAATGAGAGGCCAACACCTTAACCTCTAGGCCACGAAAGCCCACTGATCAGTCAGTGAATCTGTGACTTTCATTCCATCAGTGCTCATTCATTCATCTTATTTCTTATTATAAGACGGAAACTTTTGGAAAATGGCAATATATATATAATATATATATATCCCCCAGTCTAACATTTCAGTTAACTGGGATTTGGGCCTGATGGCCCATAATTTTTTCAGCATAGCAGTTTTAAATGTTGTTACAAATAGTACTTACGTACTTTAATGTTTTGGGATATTTTCGGACTATATTTATTGTTTTCTTGTATGTTTCTGTGTATAGGACTTGCTACAATGTAAGTCTAATAGTTGAGCACACACTTTTTTTTTTGGTCATCTGAAAATCACTGAAACACTTCACAAAAATAGTGTATTTTGTAATCCATAATCACACACATATATCTTTGATTTTTACTATTAGTGAGTTGAAGGGTAACCACTCAAATGCAACTGAATATACATTGATATGCTGATTGTAGCAGTCTTCCCTTCTTGAATATAATATCCTCCCTTCCCCCCCCCCCCTATAATTTTCCAACAGTTGTCAAGACCACAGTATTGTTGAAGGACATTGGTGAATATGCTGCTGTGAATGATGTTTATGCAAAATGTAAGCCCCCACATTATTTGTTTTAGTATATATTAAAATATTTATATGTTTGCTGGTAATTAAAGCTTTTGTTTACTTAAAGTTTTCATTTGCTGATGTATTTAATTTACTGAATAGAGTCAAACGGTTTGGTCAAAGATTATTTGGATCTTTGTGGTAAAGTAAATACTCTTTATCCTAATTTATTCAAAGTGATTGAAAGGGAAATGAAAGTCGGTTGAGAACAAATGATGTGAAATGTTTCAGGATCATTTTATAGTGAAGTCGGGTAACTTTTGAGTTGAAGGTGAGCATGACTAAATTAATTCTTGAACTTACGTATCATGTATATGTTTGTTGTAGCTTTGTAGCTGTCTTTTTTTAATTAAATGAAATTTCAGCATTAAAGATGACTAATTAACTCAGGGTAGTATGTAATTTTGTGTATTGAGGACAGATTAAAGACAGTATGTACACATGCATGCAAATAAAAAAATAGTTCTCATATGTTTGTCATTTTAGATTTGTTTCAAAGATGCTATTGTGCAATGTAAGGTACACTGATATTTTCTTCATAAACTCTACACTTCAGATTTCTCTGAGTCCAAACCAGCCCGTGCAGCTTATCAAGTGGCAGCTCTCCCAAAGGTTGGTTGCATATTGAGGATCTGATTGTTGAGAATTAACAGTTGGAACACTAAGACTACGGGCAAATTTGTTTAGGAAGTTCAATGGGTAAAGGTCTTCTTCAGTCCCCCATTTTTAAAATAGGTTAACACTGTCTTTTGTGCTCGAGTTATGGCTACTGCCATGTTGGCCCCAAAGAGAGTGGAGACCTCCCCCCCTAGAGATGCATAGTAGGTTAAGCAAGTTTCAAATGAAGGGCTGAAGTAGACCATTATGATTTAATTATCTAGGTTCTGTAGTAATTTGAACACTAACTTGTGTAACTGACTTCTGAGATGTCGACATAAGGAAGTTTCTGAAGGTCGTAGAGGGAGCAACTGCTAAGCCTTATTTCTTTCTTATACAGTATATCTTTTTTATCCACTTTCTTGTTTCTATAGAAATAAGCTTTTTTGAAAATCCCAACAACTTACAGAACTGATTTTGTTGGTCAAAATCTACTGTCCTGGTGTTAGTCATGAAAGCAATTCCTCTGATCCTCTCATTTCTATTCTAAAAACAATGTGGCAAAACATTTCTAGCTTGTATAAGGTTTTTTGATTATTTTAGTCTCTTGACACTGAGGGTTTTTAAAGAAAATTATTACTTTTTTTCCCTTAAATTTCTATTGAATAGTAAAAGTAATGCCCATACCCATGTCCAAGTTTGGTAATATTGTTTGATAATGTAATTCCCTTTTCCTCTCTGAGTTTACTACTATCAGCACTTTAAAATGAATGAAACTGAAAAGGGAAGAAAGCGCCAGTCCACAGCTGCCTCAAGCGTAAATTATTCAAACCAAATGTCAGCAAATTTGACGTTTTTATGCTATAGTCCTTTGCAGATAAGTAATGCTACGCTAAGCCGTGGCATAGTGATGTAGGAATACAATTAGTACATATAATGCTGGACACAGTTTACTGAAGTGACTAGTTCAGCTGTTCCTTTTGGAATTGTTTTCTAATTAGATGAGGGCATGGGTATTGATTTTTTCTCCCACTCCACTTGTATATCTTTCCTCCTGGGAACATCTGTGGCAACATCCTCTTTATTAGATATGGAAATCTGTGATGTGCTGGGACCATTAACCTGTAATTTGATATCCACCATCAAGTCATGATAATTTGATTTAAGACTGCTGAGTATGGTGTTATGCACAATAACTTTTGGGGGGGGGTCAAAATTTAAATAAAATGAATTTGAAATGAATTTTGGTGAAGAATCCAAATCTTCTGAAGGAAGTTTTTTAATTGACTATGAAGTTAAACATTTATTCAATTAATAATATTGTCTTTCGGTGTAAGTATCCACCAATGTACAACTGTATTTCATTTCTGTTTGCCAACTACTGCTTATGCATTGTTACATAATACCTAAAGTAGTCTCCTACACTCCCCAATATAGATGAAGGGCAGATATTAGAAGTTCTAAAAGTGAAAGTTTACCTTGTGCCAGGGAAAGGCATTGGGTATCTTTTATGTGTCTTTCAAAACTCACATAAAGATGAATTATATTAATTCATCGTTGCAAAAGTCATGAGTTAATATAATTTGGGTTCTTGGTGCTTTTGGCTTGTAAAAATTCAGGTGTTATGGGTGAATCTTCACTCAATGAATAAATAAGACGAGGCAACCTGACCGACTGATGTGCAAATGTGCACATCAACTCAGTTGTTAAGGCATTACTAATACACTAGACCACAATTTGAACTATCAGGGGTTGAATTTGATTTTTTTACAGGTTGTCTGGAGACTTTTTAATAGCTGTCCTCTCCATGTGGCTTAAAGTGTGAAAGTCTCATGATTTTAACAGCTGATAGTGAAGCACATTGATAAGTAAGATAGATTATGTGTAGAAGTTGGGTTCGATTTTCTTACAAGAAAGCTCACTGTATTGCCATCTTTTTCTCAGGGAGCTAATGTTGAGATCGAAGCTGTGGCTGTGATTGGGGAGATTGTGGACGCCTGACTAGTTTCACCTCCAACTTATGAGAAACTCACCAGTGCCTTGTGATGTTGCATGCCAGACATTAGTCTTTTGTTGAATTATATTTTGTTGTGAATGTATGCACCTTCTCAGAGTGATGCTGTGTGCTTCATGAAATTCAGTTTGAATTATTCAGATTACTTGGATTGTATTATTTGATGTAGCTTAACTATAATGTCTTTTTCATGCTGTCTTCTGTTTTTGATGACTCACTATTGTTCATGCTACGGAATTGTGCCATTCTTATTTCGTACCCATTTTATTTTTATAGAGTCATGTTCTTTTTCTCCAGCATTAGGCATTAGGTAACAACATGTGCAAAAGCCTCTGCTGGAATTGCTGATTTATCAGAATAGTATAGCCATTTACTGCATTGGTCAACTGCGGAGAATATTGATAGAAGGACAAATGATTAAACTTTGAGACGGAATAAACAGGGTGACTTCTGGCTTTATCTGTTCACGTGTTTAGAAAATTCAGTATTATTGAATAATGAAAACTTTTTGAAACAACATGCTACTTTTGTTATTTCATTGTGAGATTGCTAGATTCGGTCGAGCTGTACTGTGTATTTGAATTGTTTTGATAAACCTGAGTATTTGTTTCAAAATTTCACCTGAGAAGTTTTTACTCAATGATTACTAGATCTGTTGACTTTCAAATACCATTACTATTGTCGCACAGATGAAGTATAGAAGTTCATGTCTTGTGTGAGTCTTCTTTTGTTGTGCAATTTTTTAAAATGAATAACCTAAAGCACATGTTCACCCAAATTTTACAAAATCATGTGTTATGATGTGCATTCACATTTTGGCCAGGTTAAAAAAGATTTTTTTGGGGTATCTTTCTTGTACCATGATTGCAATGTATAATAATTGCTTGTATTTTTTTACAGAGACTAATTTATGATTGTTAGCAATCTTTTTTTTACTGAAGTGACACTGTTGTTACTGATGTCAGTGACATCTATGCATACACTTTTTTTACTGCTCTTTATTGTTCACCGATTTTTTTTTACTAAGCTTGTAGAGGAATCTTTCCTTTTTTTTAAAAAGAAAAGTAAAATGTGAGCCTGGTTTCTCTAGATTGCCTGTGACATTCCATTTGAAACAACAGTATTTAAGTTTAGTTTTTCTGATATGTTTCCTCCTAATTGTATCCTTGCTGTTTTCAGTCATACTGATACTTTGCTGAATGTGGTGTGGCCATCAAATCTGCAGAAAGCACCCTCTTCTTTTGCTTGATGGAGGGGAACTTCATAAACCACTGGCCACCCTTACCTGTTATCTATGGGGCGACGTTGTGTACTAATACTGTCTGCTCTAGTCAATGGGTCCAGTGTTCATTTCATTTAGAGATAAATCCACTTTCAATGCAACAGTGAGTGGTTAGTGGGTGCTCTGGTGTGGTTTGCTCTTTCTGTCCTATCAAACTTTTATTATCCTCATCTCGCCTCCCCCTTTTGTTTGTTCGTTACTCTCAAGTAACACTTCTAATCTTTGGCACTTATATGACCTAATTGTGTTGCAAGTGCTGTAAAATGCTTACTAAAACTAAATCTAGAACAATGTCAAAGATTTGTGTTGAATAACTATAGAAATCCAGAACATTTTTGCTGGCTGTAAATCAGTTTTTTTAATGCTATATTGTTAGATCTCCACATCTTGAAGTGAAAATGTTTATGTGGTAAATTTGCTTTGAAACAGATGCGGAAAGTTTATTTGGAAATAAAACTGAAAGACAGAAACTCCATGTGTGCAACTAGTTGGTTTCATTATTATTGTCACTGCACATGACTACCTGTTGCACATAAAATTATAATGTTGATAGCGGTTTTCACTGCATTGCAAATACTTGTGTTCTGGAGCTGTGTACTGTTAGTTGATGGTTGGCGGGTGCTCTTATGTAGTTTGATCCTCTATGTCTTTCCTATCAAGCATCTATCATAGTATCATCCTAATATCTCCTCCATTTTTGTGTTTGTTATTTTCTTGTAACACCTCTCATCTTCGATGGCATAATTGTGTTGCAAGTGCCATAAAACGTTTACTAAAACATAAAAACATGTATGTACTGTTGCTTGAACTAAATACTTGTAGTTTTAGGCGGCTGTGTCACATGGGTTCTTGATGAAACTCAAGTACATTTGAAGGGTAAAAAGGAGACGCTTATGACGACATTGTTCTTTCGCGGTCTTGACATGTATCAACTGATACAGCACAGTAAGCTACAAACTGTAAGTGTAAGGTTGGATATTTAACA